CATCATCATCATCATCATCATCATCATCATCATCATCATCATCATCACCATCATCATCATCATCATCACCATCATCATCATCATCATCATTACAGTGAAAAGTTCACTGGCTTGGGTGGGGGTGTGAATTTTGGTGACTCAACCTCTCTAGGCCTCAGTTTGTTCATGTGTAAACTGGCAGAGTTGGACTCCCTTCCAGCTCCAAGTCTAAAATTCTCCATCCAGGCTGAACTGCTTGCTGTCCCTTATACTTGTCTCATCTCTTTCTAATTTTACACTCCGGCTCATGTTGCTCCATATGCTTAGAAGGCCCTATCCCCATCACTACCTACCAAAAATCCTATCCGTCACAGATTAAGAGCCAATAAGGGACCTACAAGGTAATCTGGTCCAGCCTCTCATATTGAGATGTGGAAACTGAGGCCTAGAAAGGCAAAGTGATTTGCCCAAGGCTACACACATAAAAAGTGGCAAATCATCTGACTCCCAATCCAGGACTCTGTCCACTGCACCATACTGCCTACAAGACCTAATGCAAATGGTGCCTCTTCCATGAAGCCTTCCCTGGTGGCCCAATGGAATGGATCTAACCCCACATAGCCCTTTGTTTAGACGTCTCTTACTTATCTTGATATATACCCTATCCCTTTTACTAGTTCCATAAGAGTAAGCGCCACGTGGATTCAACATATTCAATTTGACAGATATTTATTGAGTATGTGCCAGGCACTGTACTAAGCACTGGGGACATTAAGACAAAAAAATAGAATGGTCCTTGCCGTCAAGGAGCTTACTACATTCTACTGCAGGGGTACAACATGTATACAGGTGACTTCATGCTAACGTATATAGTCGTATCAAGAAGGTGCAAGTCCTAACAAGCCGGGATATTGGGTGGGAATTGGTATGTAGGAGATGTCACTTGAGCTATCAATGCAAGAAAGTTGGGGATTCTACAAGGGAGAAATGAGGAGTGAGCGCATGCCTCACCACTAGGTGGTGCGATCAGTAGAGCTGCTGGACGTGGAATCAGGAAAACCTGAGTGTGAAACTAGCCTCAGACACCTTCTAACTGTGTGATCCCAGGAAAGTCACTTGACCCTTGTCTGCCTCAGTCTCCTCATCTGTGGTAATGGGTTATCATAATGTAATTGTCCTTCATTTCTGAAGAGAACCAATGACATCACGATGACGGAATCACTGTGTTTGATTGCGGCTGATCAGACCAATACAGAGTTTGGAAAGCTCTCCCACAGGTAGGGCACAAATAGAGCATATGAACACTTGGGATGGCAATGTCTCTAGATTTGCGCATCTCACACTTCCTTTGCAATTCTTCGCTCATAGAGCATAGAGCCTTCCTTGATGTGGGCACACCATCCTGGGCCGTCCTGTGCCAAGGTCTCCCAGGTCATGCAATCGATTCCAGAGCTCTTCAGAGGGACCTTGAGAGTATCCTGATATCGCTTCTTTTGACCTCCATGTGAGCTCTTGCCTTGTGTGAGTTCTTTGTAAAATAGTTTTTCAGGCAAATGTATGTTTGTCACTTGAACAACATGGCCAGCCCATCAGAATTGCTCTCTCTGCAGTATAATTCAGCTCAAGAAAGGACCTCAGCATATGATACCTTATCCTGCCTGAAAATCTTCAGAATCTTCCCAAGATAATTCAAATGGAAGCGATTCAGTTTCCTGGCATGGTGCTGGTAGACTGTCCAGGTTTCACGGGCATACAACAATGAGGTCAGCACAATGGCTCTGTAGACCTTCAGTTTGGTAGGCAGCCTAATACCTCTTCTGTCCCACACTTTCCTCTGGAGTCTCCCAAACTCTGAGCTATCTCTGGCAGTGCATGCATCAGCCTCATTATCTATGTGTACATCCCTGGAAAGTTCACTGCCAAGCTAAGTGAACTTATTCACAGAATTCAAAATTTCTCTGTTACTGTAACCAATGGTTCAATATATGAATGGTGCAGTGCTGACTGGTGAAAGACCTCTGTTTTCTTGGCTGTTATTTTAAGGCCAAAATTAGCACAAATGGCAGAGAATCAATCCATACTTTGTTGCTTCCCAACCTCAGAGGCTACATTGAGTGCAGTCACTCAAACAAAAAGTCATGCGCTGACTCTCCTTCCTCTTTTGTCTTGGTTTGTAGCTTTTTTGAGTTAAATAGTTTATCAACAATGTTGTAGTTGACCTTGATGCCATTTTTGTCCTCGTCAAAAGCATCTGACATCACAGAAAACATCATGCTAAAAAGCATGGGAGCAAGCATACAGCCCTGCTTCACTCCTTTGGTGACTGGGAAGATGTAAGACTGTCATCTTTTATCCAGAACCGTGCAAGCATGCCATCATGGAGCTGGAGTAAAATACTGATGTACTTCTATGGGTAACCAAATTTGGCCATGATCTTCCATAAGCCCTCATGACAGAAAGTATCAAAAGCCTTGGTCAGATCGATGAGCATTGTGTACAGACATCTGTTCTGCTCCTGGCATTTCTCCTGGAGCTGTCAAGCAGCAGACACCACATTGACCATGCCTCAGTCCTTCTCTGTGTATAAACAGTTCATTGATGACCTGGAAGAAAGTTGAGTCAGCACACAGCAACAGTAGAGCAGAGAAGGAGTGGGCAGTTTTCAGAGATCTGGTGTGCAGCACTGCATTTGTTCATCTGGGCCAGAATACTCACAAACATCAGGATTGGTTTGACAAAGATGATGAGAAAATTCAGAAGCTGCCACATGAGAAATGAGAACTCCACAAGGTTTACCAGCAGGACAGCTCACCCATCTCCAAGAAGGCAGTGTTTAACTCCATTAAAAGCAAAGTGCAGGCAAAGCATAGAGAGATACAGGATTCTTGACTCAGTAAGAAGGCAAATGAGATTCAATTTTACACCAGCAGCAACAATAATCCAAAGTGCATCTACAATGCCTTGAAGGCTCTTTATGGGCCAAAGACCTCTGGTGCATCTCAACTACTCAGTGCTAATGAAGCCACACTGATCAGTGATGAGGACTCTGATTCCGTCAGAGACGGGCTGAACACTGCCATAGTGTTTTCAACAGACCGTCATCAATCAATGCCAAAGTCTTTGAACACATATTTCAGGTTGAAGTCAATCTCTCTCTAGCTGAACTTCCAACCAAAGAAGAGATATTGAACGTTATTAGGCTTTTTTCATGTGGCAAAGCACCAGTGCTGATTCTATTCCAGCAGAGATCTACAAGGAAGGGGGTCCACTGCTCATACAGCAATTGATTGAAATCTTCTGGGTGATATAGAAAGAGGAGATTATCCCCCAGGAGATCAAAGATGCCTCTATTGTCCATTTCTATAAGGAAACAGACAATCACAGGGGGGAAGGAGCTCTCTCTCTTAGTCACTGCCAGCGAGATTCTTGCCTAAGTCCTCCTTAATAAACTGATCCTTCACCTGGAAGATGATCATCTACTCAAGAGCCAGTGTGGCTTCAGAAAGGATATCATAATAGCATCTACCTCCCAGAATTGTTATAAGAATAAAATCAGATAATATTTGTAAAGCACTTGGCAAATCTTAAGGTGTGTTATAAACGATAGCTATGATGATCATTATCATTGATTCCAGACATAGGAAATAGCCTATGCAAAAATACAGAGGTGGGAGATAAGATATCACATACAGGAAAGAGTGAATGGGTCACTTTGGTTGGAATAGAGAATGCATGAGTAGGGTAACATGAAATAACCTTGAAGAAGGAGGTGGGATCCAGATTGCAGAAAATTTATTTATCTTTGTTTCTTCCTACTCATTGCCCCTTAGTACAGTGCTCTGCACATAGTGGTCACAATAAATGTTTGTCAAATGAAAAAATGAACAGATGGTTCTGATTTTTCTCTCCTCCTCCACACCCCCCACTAGTTTTTAATCATCAGCTCCCTTCTGGACCAGTCTCCTCTTGTGCTGTTTGACTACCACTATCCAGACTGGAGCATCTCCATTGGACATCTGATTGGCACTTCATCATGTATCTGTATCCCCATCTACATGGTCTACAAACTTATCTGGACACCTGGATCTCTCAAGCAGGTTAGGAATGCTGGATGTGCCCCATTTCCTCTCCTGGCCTGGGAAAAACTAAGGGTGGTTTTCATGTCTTTGGTCTTCCAGGCATCACTGCCACCATGGGTGGTGAAGGAGATTAGGGGGAAACTAAAAACAATAGATGGTGAGTTCAAGGTGTCTAGTCACTCTTCAGGATTCACTTCTCTTAACCAGATCACTCAAAGATAGAGCCAGGACAAATGCTATGAGCTTGCTAGGGAGTTTAGTTGACTCATTCCTAGTGTCCAGGGCTGAGGTGATAATCCCACTGTCCTCTGCCCTGGTCAGTCCTCATCTGGAAGGTTGGACTCAGTTCTTGGCACCACAGTTTAGGAAGAACATTGATAAGCTGAAGTATGTCCAAAGGAGGATGACTAGGGTGGTGAAGCTCTTGGAGTACATGTTCTGTGAGGATGGGTTGAAGGAATCAGATATGTTTCATCTGGAGAAGACAAGCTTCTTTGGAGGGGTGGAGTGGGACATGAGAACTGTCTTCAAGCATGGGAAAGCTGGGAAGTGGGATTAGACTAAGTCTGCTTGGCCCCAAAGGCTAAGACCAGGCAGAAGTTCTGGGGATGCAGATTTAGGCATCTCACAGGGACAAATTTCCTAACAATGAAATTTATCCCAATGTGGAATGGACCACCATGGGAGAGAGTGGATTCCCCATCACTGCACATGATCAAGTGAACACAGGGTGATTGCTCTTCCAGAAAGCAGTAGAGGGGACCCATTTTCTGATTGTGTTGAAGAGATGGTCTCAGAAACCCCCTCCAAGTCCAAAAGTTGATAATTCCACTGGTGTTAGAGGCAAGATTGGAATCCAGGTCCCTGCTGTCTCAAAGTCCAACACCCTTTCCATATTTACAATGCTGCCTAGGGAAGGAGGGCGAGTGAGTTGTGGTTTGTTTTTTTTTTTAAGTGGGCTCATAGTGTTACTCTAAATTTCATAACCATCAACAAAAACAAACACTCCAGCACCCAAACAAGAATTTGAAATGATTTACACAAACTCGTGCATTTCTAATATTTACAGCTGCTTTTTTAAAATGTGTGCATTCACTTTCACAAGATAATGACGTGACAAAATCACAGGTCTGAGCCCAAAACAAACAAACAGAACAGAAATATCATGGGTTTGTCACCAAGAAGGTTCATCAATTAAGAGCTGGGGGGGGGGGATCTCAGAAGCCATCTGGTTCAACCCTGCTCACTTTACAGAAGGGGAAACAGAGGCACAGAGAAGGAAAATAGAATTTGAACCAACATCCTCTGACTCCCAAGGCAGAATTCTTTCCCTCACACCAAAGTCTGCTCTGTGTATTTTTCTGGATTCCATGGCTCTTACTGCTGAAGTTGCTATTCCTATGAAGTATCAGCTTTTGAGCTGGGAAGACCTGGGTTAGAATTCTGCCTCTGATACTTCCAAGTTGTATGACCTTAGGTAAGTCACTTAACTCAGAGCTTCTGTTTCCTCATCTTTAAATATAACAAAAACAACAGCTAACATTTACGTAGCCCTTCAAGGATCACAAAGCACTTCATAAAATCATCTCATCTGATCCTCACAATGACCCTGTGAGGTAGGAACTGTTATTATTCTCATTTTAAAGTTGAGGAAATTGAGGCTCTGAAAAGTTCCGTGACTTGCCCAGAGTCACATGGCTAATAAATATCTAAGGCAGGTCATCAGCTCAGGTCATCCTGACTCTAAGACCAATCCTCTATCTATTGGGCCACCCCACAGCATTATTTCAAGTCTCCACTAAGAGATTTGTTTGTAGAGAGTTTTGCAAACTGTAAAGTTCACCATGAATGTGCACAATTGTTATGATTTCCATGGTTGCTGTTGGTGTGTATTTTCCTCTTCTGATTTGGGGGCTGCTACAATTTTCTACTGTTATTTGCAAGGCTATTGTAAAAGGTCTTGTGATGGGATTTGGGAATTGCAATAAGACTGGGTTAGACCAGCTGCCAATTTCTTATAGAACTAAACTGTGACAGAAGAGAGCAGCCTTTTGCCTGTCCTAATGATGTCTCGTTTCCACCCTTGTGTTTTCTCTCAGCGCCTGGAGGTTTGTCTGAGACCGGAGAAGAAGCCAAGTCAAAGCCAGCCACCTGATTCCATCTGCCTGCATGCTGTCCCTTAACTCCCTCAGATCCCCCCAGGCACCCGAAGCCTGCCAGCTCTCTTGGATCAGGACACCCTTCTAAAGGAATGACACAGAGAAGGGTAAAACCCCCCTAGACTCCCCTGACATACATGGACACACCTCTTCTAATTCTCACTCCCCTCAACTCCCATCATGCCCTTGCCCATGTTAGAGCAAGCGGACTCCTCTCCCTCTAAGTCAGACGTGTTGTTCCATCATTCAGCTGTATCTGACTCTATGTGACTCTGTGGACTTTGTCCATTGGGTCTTCTTGGCAAAGACACTAGAGCAGTTTGCCATTTCCTTCTCCGGTGTTTCTCCATTTTACATATGAGGAACTGAGGCAAATAGGGGTTAAGTGACTTGCCCAGGGTCACACAGCTAGTAAGTGTCTGAGGTGGGATTTGAATTCAGCTCTTCCTGTCTCCAGGTCTGGTGCTCTAAACACTGCACCCCCTAGCTGCCCCACGTCGTATGTATCTCCCCAACAAATCTCTGGAGTTAGAGTCAAACCTAGGTTTGCTGACGGGCTATAGGAGGTGTGATGAGACTGTGTCAGCCAACAAATATTTGTTAAATACATAATTACTATGTGCTGAGTCACAGCATAGAAACACATTGATGGGAACCAATGTTTGAATTCATGCAGTACCCCAGACCAAGCTTCCTTCAACATGGAAAAGTCTTCTAAAGAATGTTCTGGTCTGTACCAGAGTCCCATTCTGATGCAAGGTTCACAGGTCGAGAGTTGGAGAGGATGCTCAGGACATCTGGAATAATCCCCTTCGAATCAGGCCTAGAGAGAAGTGACAGGCCAAAGGTCACGCCAGCAGTCAGTGACAGAGTGAGAGACTTGAACTCAGGACCTCTGACTCCAAAGTCAGTGCTGTTTCCTCAGTATCCCTTCACCTGCCCCCTCAAATCTCACAGACACCCTGAGACAGTCACTGGAATCCATTTGAGGCCATTTCTGCACAATATCTTTTAGTCAGACTAGCGGAATGCTGTAGTTACCACATTTTTATGAGAACCCTGATACTTCTACGATTAGAAGTAGCAGGAAGGGCCACCTGGCTTTTGTGAAGCTCTTAACCCGTGTCTGATGAATGCCTGTTGCTTGGCAGTCAGGGCACAGCAGGGTACATGGCCTTTATACCCCTAGCTAGGGCCTGTGGCTACTATGGTAGAAGAGACATAGATTAGGCCAAGGAAGGCCCATTGGCCCAGGAACTCCTTGCCCCTCGGGACACAGTGGTGGAGAGGAAGGACAGCTGGACTTCAAATCAGGAGACCTCCCTATGAGTCCTGGCTCTGATATCGCCTAGGGCATGACTTTGCACAAATCATCTCAGCCTCAGTTTCCTCTGTTTGTAGAATGTGGATGGCAGCCTTGTTACTCTCCTCCTCTGAGACATCTGGCGAGGAAAACATTTTCCAAAGCCTTTATAGATGTGATTGTTTCCCTAAACACTGTTAGAAAGGACTGTTTTCTACATTTATCTTTGAATATCCTTAAGATAAATTAGTATCAATCCTTCCTGCTTCTGTTCACGCGCTCAGGCAATATACAGAGTGTCCCAAAAGTCTTTGTGCCATTTTAAACTGCTGAAACTTCAAACTTTTAAAAACTGTCGAAGCTTGAAGCTGCTCTAAGAGTTTGGAGATACCTCCATACTTACTGGAAGCCTTTTGTGATCCCCCAGAAGTCATCTTTCTCCCTACTCTAATTATCTTTCCTTTGATTTAAGCCTCAACAATGTTCCAGAGACTATGCCAGGCACCGGGGAGCCAAAGACAAAAACGGTGGATGTCTCTCACCTCAAGGCCCCTCTCATTTTATAAGGGAGATTTGAAACGTCCATGGAAAAGTAAATACAAAGCGTATACAGAGTAAACACAGCGTGAGTTTTATCGGGCACTCTAACAACTGTATTTACTTATAATAAAGACAGCCAACAAGTCCATAGAACTTTGAGGGTTGCAAAGCACTTCATAATTACAGCAGGGAGAGATCTGCCTTCTATAGGGATCAGCAAAGGCTTCCAACAGGAGGAAAGGAGACAGAGGCCTCTCTGACATTGCCTGCCCTCCTCCTCAAATAAGCCTCCAATGGCTCTCTCCCCTAGGCAGTCAGACATGCAAATGCCCAGTTCCAAACTAACTTGTTATTTTATCATTTAGCCATTTCAGTCTTGTCTTGGTGACCCCATTTGAGGTTTTCTTGGCAAAGATACTGGAGTGTTTCACCGTTTCCTTCTCCAGCTCATTTGACGGATGAGAAAACTGAGGCAAGCAGGTTGAAGTGACTTTCCTAGGGTCACACAGCTAGTAAGTGTCTGAGGCCGGTTTTGAACTCTGGAAGATGAGTCTTCCTGACTTCAGGCCCAGGGTTTTGTGCACTATGGAGCCACCTCGTGGTCATTGCTATTTTAAACGAAGACCATCAGAGTTTCCTCAACTAATTCCAATACCTTTCCTCTGTAGTATCACTTCACAGGGTTTTCTACTCCTTCCAAACGCCATTAACTAGGTTGTTTCCACTTCTCTAATGCTTTTGATTGGTTTATTCAATGGAGATGTCTAGGAGCTGTCCCGTTCACACTTGCTTCACACTTTTGATTGATTAATTTAATGGATAAGTCCCAGCCCTCTGTAATTATTGGGATGAGGCTGTAGGTTCCTTCTAAATGCATTTAAGTGAAATCATAGAATTACAGATTTAGAGCTGGGAGGAAACTCAGAGGTCATCTAGCTTAGCCCCTTTATTTTACACAAGAGGAAACTGAGGCATGGAAAGGTTGAGTGAATTGTCAAAGGCCACACAGGTGCACAGCAAAGATTTGAACTCAGGTCCTCAAAACACAAATTCAACCTTTTTTCTAGGGCTTCTTAGGATCATAGGCTCAAGGCTGGGCAAGACTTTAGATGACATTCAATCTAACCCCGTCATTTTACAGGTAAGGAAATGGAGGCCCACGGAAATAAAGTGACTTATCCAGTGAAACGGGTAGTAAGTAGTAGAAGGGCAGCTAGGTGGCGCCTTAGCACATAGGGAGTGGGCCTGGAGTCAGGAAGACCTGAGGTCAAATCCGGGTCAGGGCTATGAAATTGATGGTATGCCTCAGGAGAACATGACCTTAAATATATTTGCAGTAGGTGTATTTAAATATGCTGAACACCGTCTGAGGCAGTGAGGGGTAGTGGGGAATAGAATCATCTTGGAGTGAGAAGACCTGGGTTCAAGTCCTGTCTTTGGCCAATACTGGCTGTATGACCTTGGGCAAGTCACTACCCCTTAGTCCTCCAAGTAACTTACTAAGACTGCAAGACACCCTCCAGCTGACAACTGACATTCCTAGAAGAAGCTTCTGTCGTGGGCATTCCCTACATGAATGACATCACAGGTATGGACCAAACAAAGCAAAATTCACCGGAATTCCAAAATTGCCAGGTTGTTGTTGTTTTAATAGAAATGGTGGCACAAGGTGGTACATATCTGTAGTCCCAACCACTAGGAAGCTGAGGCTGGTGGATTGTTTGAGCTTGGGGAGTTCTGGTCTGCAATGAGCTAAGCTGATCAGGTGTCTCCACCAGGTTCCGCACCAATATGGTGCTCCCCCAAGAGCAGAGGGCCAGCAGGCTGCCCTAAAGAGGAGTAAACCAGCCCCAGACAGAAAAAGAGCAAGTCAAAACTCTCCTGCCAGTCAGTGGTGGAATCAAGCCCATGAGTGGCTGTTCCACATCCAGCCTACTCAATATAGGCCAATCTAATCTCAAGAAAAAAATTAATCTAAATACTTTGAACCCCAAATGAACATGTTTCCCAGGGACATGATTTTTTTCCAGGAAAGTAAAACATAAACTCAGCTGGTGATGAAATGCCTAGACACCTTGATACTTTGGTGTTTCTGAGTAGTTATAAAATGTAGATTTGTCAATCACTAAATGATATTAAAGGAGGAAGCACATTTGCTGATCCCTCTGCATTGAGATGGAAATATAAATTCCTTCAAGGCTCAGCCCATTCCCCATCTTCCATAGGAAACCTTTCCTGATCCCCTGAGCCTTTAGCACTCTCTCCCTCACCCTCTATAATTAGGTAGATACTTATCTGTGTCCATATTGTATCTCTTCAATAGACTGTAAGCTCCAAGGGGGCAAGGATTGTTTCATTTTTTTCTTTGTCACCCCATAACCCAGCACATTGCCTTCCACACAGTTTGCTCTTAATAAATGTTGATTGGATTAGATAGGATTCACTTGTCACATTGTACACATTTCGTTATTATCACCATGCTGATGCCTCCCGCATAGAGGATGACCATCCTCGGTCTTCCCCAAGCTTCAGTCCCACATCACCAATGGTTTATTGGACATCTCAAATAAGATGTCCTGAAGCCAAACATATCCCAAACCTTTGTCCCAAACTCTTCCTCTCTTCTGAATTTCCCCTACTTCTTTTGAGGACACTACCATCCTTCAAGGTTCTCAGATCTTTCCCTCACCCCATATAAGCAATCATTTGCCAAAGCTGGTCATTTTCACCTTCACATAATTTGCTTCCATCCCCTTCCCTATTCATATTGCCACCATCTTAGTTCAGGTCTTTATTACCTCTCACCTGTACCACTGAAATATCTTCCTAATCCCTTGCCTTAAGACCATCCCTTCTCCAATCCATCATGCACAGCTAACAAAATGATTTTCCAAAAGTCTGGGTCTGAGTAGGTCACTCCCTTGCTCAATAAACTCCAGTGGGTCCCTATTGCCTCTGGGATCAACTGTAAGATCCTTTGTTGAGCTTTTAAAGTCCTTCACAGCCTTGCCTCTACATACCTACCCAAAACTGGTTGCCTTGAAGTTCCTCAAACATAACACTCTATCTCCTGTCTCCACACATTTGTACAAGTTTTACTAGTGCAGCTGACTCTTCACCCCTACCTCTTCAGATCCCTCATTTCCTTCACTTCCTAAGTGTCCCTTTCCAC